TTGGAACTTTTTGACCCTCGGGTCCCAAATAATTTTGGCATATTTTGGTAGCCATAATGCCAAAATAATTTGGGATTTGGGTGGCAAGTATAACACCTCCCCTCCATTTTATTATTTTTTGTACAAGTATAATCAAAACTATAATAAATATATATAATTGATAAAACTATATTAAATTATAGTAAAAATTTTAGAAAAATATAAGTTTTACTTTTTATCAAATTACAAAATAGGTTTTATCAAAAAACTTTATACATAAAGATACTTACTTCCCTGTTGTTATATTTTTTATGAACATATGTATAGTATCATGAAATTACTAATGAAAGATACATGAGCAAAATTTCAATGGATATTTGAGAAGAACAAATTTGAAATATATATATATTATATATTAGTCAAAATAAATTTATCAAAGTAAATTAATGCAGAAAGAGCTGCAAAAAGAGTTACAGAAAATTGAAGGTTGACAAAAAATGAATTAACAAAAGACAAATAGGAGCATTGTCTAAAGAATTAAAATTCTGTATAAAACTAATTTTAAATGATATAAAGATAAAAGAAAATTTATCTTAAAAAATAATTTATTATAAATAAAAAAAAATTTTATTTATTACAATAATTTTTACTATATTATTTTGCTACAATAATCTTTATTTATTTTATTATAATAATTTTATTTACTACAAATAAAAAAGATAAAATAAAATAAATTTAATATTTCATTTCACATATAGCATCCAAGAACAAAATTCAATGGTACATGATATTTTCTTTAAAGTAATTATTTCTTGTAACTGTTATGTCATGTGATGGACTCTGCTTTAGATAATTTTTATATATGGAAATCCAGTTTAATGTATTTTCAATCAAAGAAATTATCTGGGTGATCAAAAAATTTTGAATTTTAAATAAACTATTTTAATTTTCAGACTTAAAAATATTTAGACTTACTATGATAGTCTATTTTGTGTACAAGTATAATGTAGACATGGTTGAATACTTAAACATTTTGTAGATGTGTTCCATTTACACAAAAAAATATTAGATAAGCGTGACACAGTAAGCATGTAAACATATGAGTCAAAAATCATGTGTTAATATACAGATGATTAGATGATTCAAAGAAAGTGTCTAAGATTATTGATAAGTAAATTGAGATTTGATTTTATTAAGGCAATAAATGATCCATTTGCAATTAGATTTTTATTTTTTTATAATTTTAAGTATTTTTTATAATATTGTTTCCTATATAGTTTATAAAGTTTTATTTAATTTAGAAAAAGAATACTTAAAGAATTTGTAACTTACCTTATAGAATTGGCAAGTATTAAAGTTTATTTATTATTTTTGAATTAGTTTTATTATTAACCTATATCAAAAATAATATTATTAACTCCCTTTAACTTTAGAAATCAAATAAAAAAAAAATTTTCTGGTGAAAGTTTTTTTATATGTGACAATTTTGTGTAAATTATTTTTGCCTTTAATACTGATTACATGATTTTGTGAACCCTACCCTTAAAATTATTGTTGAATCCTTGAGTTGAATTAAATCACAGTTTAAACTATTGATACTGGTAAAAATTAATGATGCCTGCTGCAACTATTCCTGAAAGTAGAAATAGTAATAAAATTTCAAAAGGTAACTATCTGAAATTACACAAAGTAGTAACCTGAAATTAAAGTAATAAGCTAAAATTAAAAACATTTATTATTATTAATTATTATATTTGCATGATATAATTGTTTCTTTTGTTAACAAAGATATCATCTAAATGAAGTAATTTGCACAAAAACAAATATCTTAAATTTCAGGATTATTATTATATTATTATTATATTATTATTTGCATTAATATGTAATTGACTTCTTTGTTAACAAACATATCATCTAAATAAAGTAATTTGTACAAAAAAACGAACATCTTGAATTTCAGATTATTATTATTTGCATGACATGTTTCTTTTGTTCTGGCATTATCATCTAAAGAAAGTAATTTAAACAAAAAAATCAAAAATCTTGAGTTTCAGGATTGCATAATTTATTGTAATTTATCAATATGTTAAGTTACTATATGTATTCTTTTATTTTGATAATTAATTTTAATAAATTTATTAAATTGATTTTCTTTTAAAGAACAAGAAAACATTGAAATGAATGAAGTCTTTAAATTTTAATATGATAAAATTATATTCAAATTTGCACACTTTAACTAAAAATTTACTTTAAACAAGAATCCGAGGAGAATTTGGTTATTTAAGCAAACTATTTTAATATAATACTTTTAAATTTCTCACATTCTCCACAACTTCATATAGATGGAGATATAACACGGATACTGATACACGTAAACTGGATAAGTGACAATTTAGGAATACACAGCAGATATTACATCAACTAACAATAGATATAATAATATGAATAAAATTATTTAACGTATTATTTCTTTATTATCTCGAGAGATGGTAGTATTCTTATTATTGATGTATTACAACCCATCCAGTTTATATAAAAAAAATTATCTAAGAAATGAAAGGTCTAAATAAAAGCTTTTGCAATTAATTAGTCAATCCCCCCTTATTAAGTTTTACTTAATTTAGGTTACTCATTATTTGAAATAAAAAAAAAAATTTAAAATAGATCAAAAATTTGTTGGATTGATGCAAAATTTTATTTTATATATTTTAGGATTAATTCAAACAATTCTCAAACAATTTGTTTGTATTACACCTGCATTTCATTTATTTATTTTATGTTTTTTCTTATTTTTTCTTTTTCATTTTAACGTTATACACAACGACAATATTAACAGGGCAGTGTAAAGTAATATGACTAATTAAAAAAAAAAACTAAATTGTCGAAAACAAAGAACTTTAAAAACGCCAGATACGATTTTGTGACACCCCAAATTTATTTCGGAGTCTAACAACAAAATAATCCGTACCTCCAATTTTTCTATTAAAATTTCTTTATATGTGTATTTGATATTAAAAAATATTGATTCTTTCGGTATCAACAGAACATGTATCTTTACTCTTTCTGGGAATACCTTAGACCTAAGGCTTAGATTAGTTTAATTAATAAACATTTTTAATTATGAGATTTTTTATTAAAATAATTTTATAGGAATCGAATTAAGTCAATTAGAGAAACTAGAGAAATTTTTTCACTACACTAAACCTATTATTGTTTTTCTGTGAACCCGATTTTTTTTTTTTTGTCAACCTAATTATAGTTCGAATTTCCCATATAAAAACTATTTAAAAGTACAAAATTTTCCGCAAAATTCCTTTTGGCTTAGCGATTAATCAATAAATTCATAAAGAAAAAGAAATAAACAGATGTGTGGTGTAGATGCATATGTATCAATATTGTTGGAACTATGGAAACGTGATAACTAAATAATTCGTACTACCACTTTGTGCACTTTTCATTCATTGTCCATTATATACGCACAATTTTCTATTTAAACATCTGCACAAAGAAAGGACCAACAACAAAGCAACATTTTTTTCTTTCTTCAGAAAAGTAAAAAAAAAGCAAGGTCCGAACGAAAGAGAACATTGTTAACTATAATATATTTCCAAAATAAGGATATTATTAGTATTGTTATTATTAAATAATGTTATGCATTCGATAATTAGAGAAAATTTAAAAATAATCATTGTTTAATTAAAATTAACGACGGTTCATCAATCCATTATAATATTATTCCACCAAACCTAACTTGAAAATTTTTTTCCAAAATGAAATCATTAAATTTATTAAGAATCAATTCAAATCTTTATATTATATTTTTAATATCTTTAATAAATGTTTTACCATTAATCAACGCACAAATATCATCAACAACAACAACAACGACGTCTTCTGCATCTTCACCTTCCTCTTCCACAACAACGACGCCGACGCCGACGTCGTATCCTAACGCTTCCATTTATCAAAATATTCAGAATATGCAATTAGATTATCTATATAATATACTTAGTAATACTGAATTACAAAATCTAACAATATTATTGAATTCTAATCAAGGAAATTTAACATTATTTGCTCCACCCAATAATGTCAGTTCTTATAATAATACTCAATTAAATAACATGTTGAGATATAATACTGTTAATGGTAATTTCTTCTCTTTCTCTTCTCTTGAATTTCCAATCAATTAATTTATGAATTTCCAATTAATTCTTTATCATCATTATTTTTCATTATTATTTTTTTCATAATTTTTTCAAAATTGAACAGGTTCTTTAGCATCTAATACTATTTCAGAGAAAAAACAATTTTCGCAAACTTTATTAAATAGTCCGGATTTGGTTCAATTACCTTTAGGAGCAAGTCAAGTTATAGTGATAAATAAAACGGATAACACGATATTTTTGAATACTGGAATAGTTGGAGTGAAAGTAAATCAATCTGATATTATATGTTCTAATGGAATATTACATATACTTGAAAATGGTAAATATATATATATATATTTTAGATTTTTATTTATCATCTAATATATATTTAATATTTTATTAATATTTATTTATTTATTTAATCATTTTTTTTTATTATAAAGTTATTTTACCACCCGAGGATTTTAATTCTACCATGAATAATTATGGTTTAAATTCTTCATATAACGCATTCAATACTGTAAACCTTATTTCTACAATAGAAAGTATTGTTGGAATTACAATTTTGGTTGCTAATAATGAAGCATTTGAATCCGATACTGATTATATTAATTATAATTCTTCTTATCAATCATCTATTTGTTCTTTACACATAATTCCCGAATTAATTTATTCCACTAACTTTAAGACAATAACTAAATATAACACTCTTAATGAAGGAAAAGTAGAAGTTACTGTTTCATCAACAGATGGTGAAATAGATATTGGAGGTGCAAAAATAATATATCCTGATATTTTAATTAAAAATGGAGTTATTCATGTAATAGATCGAATAATAAAAAGAAATTCATCAACAACACCTACAACTACTAAATCAACCTCAAGTGCTTCTGATCTACCATCTGCAGCACCTGCTAATTTTTCTGATTCCAATTCCTTAGATAAAAAATCAAAAATTGGAATAGGATTAGGAGTTGGTTGTTTTGTAATTGTAGCGGGTGCTTTTTTGATATTATTACTTAAATGGTATCGAGCAAAACATGCGAGAAATAAAAAAACGGGGACAAGGGAGGCAAGTACAGCGGAGACAACGGATGCTTGAGGTTTTAATCGTCAACAAATTTTTATTTACATTTGTTATAATTATTATTGTAAATACCTTTTCTATTTTATATCTTTCTGGATCATTTTTTTTTCGTGGGAAAAAAAAAAAAATTTCGGTTTGGGATTTTTATTATATAAGATATATATATTTACTTGTATTTTATCTTGGTTATTATTTTCTTTGCTTGTATTTTATCTTAGTTATTATTTAGTTGTTAATATTTTAATTATATTCTATTCATTTATTATATTCATTTGTTGATATTAATATTAAAAATGTAAATGAATAAAATATAAGTTGTTAATCTGCTTTTTTCTTTATCACGGTTAAAGTTTTATTTGTAATTACACGAGAACAAATTTTGTTATAAAGAGAAAAACTAATTTATCTAATATTTAGAATATTTAGTTACTGTAAATGCATTTATCTAAATATTTGAATTACGAAAATAATTTTTTTTTTTTTAAAAAAAAAAGAAAAGAAAAAAATAATGATTATTCATTCATAATAACTTGAAAAACTTCATATTCATCAATCTTAAAAAATCCATCCGTCTTTCTAATATGTTCTTGATAAATTTGTTGTCGACAACGACATTTCGAAAAATCTTTTCCACAAACTTTTAAATCCGCATCGTGTCCCATCGCTCCAAATGAAGGTCCGAAATCCCAAGAAGAACGAATTGCTTTTTCAATCGCGTTTGTTTTATTCTTAATTTGACTAATAATCGTACGTTCAATATCAATCGTATTTAATGAAAAGATGAAACTTTTATCGGTTGATAGATACGAAGGACTCTTATGTTCAGGGGTCTCCCAATATAAGGGATTATACCCTCCAAGAATTTCTTGTGTGCCAGCTACTCGTACAAAACTAATCGTTGGACCTCGGTTATCACATAATTCATGAAAAATTTGAGCGGAAAATCCATTAATCGTTCCTCTCGCCAATAAGTTAAAATCATAATTGATGGTTGAATCTCTTTTATGTACTCGATTAATGCATTTTTTAAGAAGGTTAATAAGCGCCAAACAATTTGAATTTGATCCTAATATGGTTGAATTCATAAATAAATAAAATTGAAGATATATATATATATATATATATTTTTTTAAAAAAAAACAATTAATATATTTACATAATCAAGATAATCTGAGAATCTAGATCTTCGCGTGGGTATAAACTATCACTACATAATACAGATTTTTGTAAAATTTCTATTCCATCTTCTAGTTCTAGTTGCCAAGTAAGGAATTTAGAGAGATTTATATGAATTTTATTATATTAGTAAATCCAAAATATTATTCCTATTCACAATTTAACTTATTTCTTCAATTAGATTGGGCGATCTGTTTTGGTATTTTTTCAATTGTAAATATATATTACTTTATTTTAGGGTGATTTTTTTTTATCTAACCTTAAATAAATAAATTTTATTTATTTATTGTTATATATAGAACAATATCATTAAATGACGTGAGATTAATGAATACTAAAAATTATCATTTTTTTTATCTATTCTATCTAACAAGTTGTGTGTGCATACAATTACAATGAATCTACAATAATAACCAAAAATGTACAATGCATTAATGTTACAGAAATATCATTGATACCATTGAGAAAAAAGTTATTTATTGTTGAAGGCGCATTTTGTGGTCGTTATTACTACACCCAAATTAAGTAATTTAAACACTATTAGTAGATAAACAAATTTGAACGTTTTTTATTGTAGGATTTTATATAATTTTTAATTGTCAAAAAGTAATTTATTAAACTTATTATAAATTTACATCTATTAGTAGTAATTATGCAATTGATCAAAAATTAAAATCCTTTAAGAGATAATTAAAAAATAATTCAAAAATAATTCAAAATAAAGGTGTGATCCTTAAACGATAGTTAAAAGTAATTCAAAAACAAAAGCCAATAATCCAATAACATATAAAGTTCTTGATAACAATTGAAGGGAAGATGCAGATGATGATTTAGTTGCAGATGTGGGTGAAGATGTAGATGAAGCTGTATCTTCTGATGATGGCGCATTTGCTATAATAATAATTCATAACATTTAAAAGAATTTATTAGTTATTGCTTAAAATAATAATAATAATAATAATAATAACAATTAAAATAATAATTTTGAAATAATAAAGAATAAAAATAACTTACTAGTTGCATCAGATGGTTTAGGAGTCGGAGATTCAGTACCGTCTGAACTTGAAGTCGCATCCGTACCAGTAGTTGGCGCAGGAATGGAAGATGGAATGGAAGATGGAATGGAAGATGGTATGGAAGATGTAATGGAAGATAGAAGGGAAGACGGAAATCCACCTTCGCTTGGAATAAAAACATATGTATTGGTACCAACAACAATAGTAGTTTCCTCTTGGGGTTCCGGTGCTGAAATTAAAAATTTAATTTAATTAATTTAATTAATTAAATTAATTTAATTAATGAATAAAAGTAAAAGAAAAATGATACATACATCCATTGACAATTAGTGTCAGTAAACTTGCAATGAAAACCGTAAGAATCAACACGTAAGTAATTTTTGAAGACATTTTTTTTTAATTGTAAAAGATTTTTTTTTTTCGTTAACGCTTAGATAGCTTAGATGGATATTTTGAGAATTAATAAATATTATTAACTAAAAATATGAATTCCTCGTTTTTTATTGAAATATTAATATATATGTATATATATTTTTTTTTTTCAAAAGAAAACAAGTTAAATTAAAAACAAAAGAGGGGATTCATATTTATTTATTTCTAATTATTATTTGAACATCACTAATACTAAAAAAGATATTAATTAACCTAGTCCTCCACCCATAAATGTGTGACAAGCGCCAAATGATGTGTATTTATATATATTTATATTTAAAATTTATATTTAAAATTTATAATTAGAAGAAATATAAAAAGCGCGAGTTGTCTTTGACCTTTAAATAAAGAAGAATATTCCTCTAATATATATTTGGTATTCTACGAGTACAGTCAAATGCAATCGTCATTAAAAGAAAGCATTAAAAGGATATATAAAAAGCATAACAATGGTGATACATAGACATATACGCTTTACTGATAATGTGCATAATTATTATTCTTTCACACAACTATTATTATTATTATTAAATGAAATAATCTGTCACGCGATATTTTTGTGTTCTTTTATTTCTGGATTATTTTTATAATTACCATCATTGATGCTAAAATTATAATTTCCAAGGATACCCATTTTTAGAATGACAAAAGGAGTAAAATAAAATTGGGCAATGACGTAAGATTGAGAATACTTTTAAAATTTCTTATTTATATTATAATTTCTTCCTCGAAATATTTATTTTTATTAAAAATATACCCTACTTCTACTTAATTTTTTGTATTATTTTTATAATTGCCAAGCAATATAGCAAAAAAAAATTTTAAAATTTACCCATTTTTGGAATGAAAAAAAGGAGTAAAATAGAAAATTTATAGAAGATAGATCGCGCGAAAACTTTAGAAAATTATTTATTTTTAAATTTGCCAAGCAATATAACAAAAAAAAAATTTTAATTCACCCATTTTTGGAATGACAAAAGGTAAATAAAAAAAAAATTATCGAAGGGAAATCGCGCACAAATCCAAAAATCTTAGAAAAATAATTTTAAATTTGTCGAGAATACTTTTGACGTTTTATTATAAATATATTAATTTCTTCCTAGAGATATTTAATTATTAAAAAAACATACCTTACATAAAGCAAACATTTTTGATATTTGAATTAGATAATTAGATAATTTAATAATTAAAGCCAACCATCGACAATAAATAAAAAAGTATAATTTAATTAAATTTCGCGTAATATTTCATTTCGGAAATGATGAGCAGAACTCCAACGGCCCTGCCCTGCCCTGCCATGGGAATTCTCTAACTATGAAATGATCGAGTCGGGGTAAAATTCTTTTTACTAAATTAACAACATGTGATTAATATCAATCGAGGCTTGTTATTTATTGGGCTTGGTCTCGATATTGATGCTAAGCATTGTTTCAAGTATTAGCTTGATTGTTTTCTCTTTTTTTAAAAAATAAAAATATTTTTTAATTATTTAATTAATTATTAAAAATGTTTTATGCATTTTTGTTATTTTGATAAGAAATATTTCTTTTCTTTTTAAACAAAAATAGTTATTGCCTCTGATGTATTAGGTATATTTATTGTAAAATTTATATGATGTAAAATGTAAAACCGCCACTTATAAATACATTTTTTAACCTTTTTTTTATTTTGTAAATAATAATTATCTGAAATAATTAATTAATTATGAGTTTAATATACATAATAAAAAGTTTTGCCTATAAAGGATAAAAATAAAAGTTTTTAAAGATGTTTTGCTTAAAACATTATATAATCATGTGATAATAAATTATTATTACCATTTATAAAATTAAAATTTTACAATTGAGAAAGAATTTAGCCTTTTCGATAATATTCAATAATATTTAAATAAGCCTCAAAAAAAAAAATAATAAAAAATCGATTTTTTTTTTTAAAAAAAGATATCTAATTTTCAATCGTTCGGTTATTCAACTTTTTTAAAATATTTAAAAGAAAAGATATTCATATTCAAAAAAAAAAAAATTATTTAAAAGAAAATACCCCAAGAAATATTTTACCATGTCACCATCAGGAGGGATTGGAGAAACAGGCCATATGGTCTACTTTAATAGCGGTAAATACAGTAATAATTATTTATTATTATTTATTATTATTATTATTATTATTATTATTATTATCTAACACTCGTTATTTTGTATTATTTTTTTTTTGCTTTGCATTTTTTTTGTAAATGTATTATTCCATAGATTTTTCTTACGTGGTAGTTCTCTTTAAAGGGTTCAACATAACCACCTTATTCAATTATATATTAGCATGTTTATTTATTTTATTTTTATGTTGGTCAGAAAGAATATTAAATTATTACTTGGGAAATAGTTTCAAATATGATAAAAATCAATCAAGATATAAATTCATGTTGATAAGGACTGTGGTATTTTCCATAGTAACGGTATTTAGATTATTTTATATGTTAATAACGATGACCATGAATGCACAACTTTTTGTCGTAGTGGTAAATCTATTTTTTATTATAATTTATTTATGTTATATATATATAAAAAAAGTTACTTTATATTATTATATAATTATACTTTATATTTGTATATATTCTATTTATTCTATATTATTATAGGTTTTGGGATTGACTACAGGGCAATTTATCGTTGAATATATTTCTTCAACACCGTAAGTAAATTTAAAGTAAATTTAAAGTAAATTCAGATCAATTAAATCAATATTCTCTCAATATTTTTCTCATTATTAAAATTTTTATTATTCTTTCTTTCTTATTCAATTAAAAAAAAAGAATTTATTCAACAATAAATCATGATAATCATGAAACAATATCATTATCAAAAGTTACTTTGGGTAACGAATCATCATCCACTTATAATAAGATTATTTACACTGATGATGAACTTTCCAATGATTTTGTTATTTCTAATATTAATGAAGATTTTGATGATGATGATGATAATAAAAATAGTAATAATAATAATAATAATGATGATGATGATAATGATAATGGTAATAATAAAAGTGATGATGATGATGATGAAAATAATTTAGAACAAAAAGTAATGATTTCTAATCAATAGTAATATAATTAATATAATTAATATAATTATAATAGTTTTCAATGTCATTCATGCAAGCAAAGAGAGAAGAGTTTGAGAAGTTTCTTTTTTTTTGTATATTATAAATTTGTTCTTTTTTTTTGTTCTATTTTTGTAAATATTAGAAATGAACTGAGAAAAAGAAAAAAAAACCAAAATTAAAATAATTCAATAAATAATTCAATTCAATTCAATTCTATTCAATTCAATCAATAAATAAATCAATAAATAAATCAATAATTTTATTATAATTAATAATGAATTTATTCTCTTCCCCGAGAAAATATATCATTATTATTATTAATGTCTTTATGTCATTTATGCACGAGCTTTTCCTTTTCCATCCTCTTCCATTGAAATATTATCATCCTCTTCCATTGAAATATTATCAACAACTTTCACTTGTTGATGATAAGTATCTCCTTCCACATGACCATCTTCATCTACTTCTTCATCATCTTCATCCTCATCTTCTTCTTCATCCGGTTCTGGCCATTCTACTGAAACGCTTTCAAACTTTCCTTTTTAATTTGTTTAATTAATTTAATTAATTTTTTAATTTTTTTTAATTAATTTTTTAATTTATTTAATTATTATAAATTATAAATTATTATTATTAATTAATTAATATTTAATTATTATTATTATTATTATTTCATTAATTAAATGAGAATCTTTTTAAAGAAACAAAGAGAAGATATAAATACCAATTTTATCATCCCAATAAGATAAATATAAGATCTGTTCATCACTTAACCCATAAGAATTAACAGTTTCACCTTCTCTATCCAAAGAAGTGTAAACTGGTGGATTATTATTATCTGCTTTCAATAACCTTATTTTTGTGGGATCCCCATTCCCTTTATCATCTAATATTCTAACAAGTTCTTCCTTAAGTGATAATATTTTATCGTTTCCAAGTGCTTTTAAAAATACTGTGAGTTTATGCCGTTTGATTCGAAAATAAAATTGTTGGTTTTCCATTGTTTGCTATTATTTTCATATGTATTTTATATATATATAGTATGTAAAATAAAATATTATTATTAAAATACATTTTTATATGAATATATAAATATTATTATTATTACCTCAGCCATCGATATATCACTCAAAACAAAAATCAAGTTATATAATGTAAATTCATCAGTAACTCGAAGTTCTTTTTTTTTTTTAAAAATGAAAATTTTTTATTTATTTAATCATAACATTTATTTATATTATATCTATGTATGAATTTTGATTATGATATTTGATTGGTTAAATATTATTCTTAATATTCAATATATTGTTCTTCAAATATATCTTTTAAAAATTTATTCAGAAAAAAAAAGAATTTATAATGTAGGTGAATATATATATATATATAATATATTGATATTGTAGGTTTATAATATAAATGCTAAAGAAAAAGAATAAATATATAAATATAAATAAAATATAAATAAATATATAAACAATATCAATAATAAATAACACAACACCCTTCCAAATAATATAATAAAACACAATTTAATTATATTTATGCAACTTTTATATGCTGTTAATGATTATTGAATAAAAATAATAAGTAAATAAATAAATAATACAATAATGACAATCTCTCAAGAGAAAAGAAAATTAAAAAAAAAAATGATAAAAAAAATGTATGTGTAAATTTCCATTCATCCCTCTAAAGAAATACATATAGTAATATAGAAGTAATGAAGGTAATTATATATATATATATAAATGTCATTAAAGTTATATTTTGTTGTTCTAGAAAAAAAAAAAGAAAAAGAAATCCAAAGGGTAATACTACTATATATGAATCAATCAAAAAATATTGTGTCAAGAAATGCCAAAATGTCTAAATGATAAATAATACATGTAGAAAAAAAATAAAAAAAAATTATAATAAATAAAAAATTACATAAATAAAAAATTATAATTAAAATAAGAAAAAAATTATAATTAAAAATCATATAAATAAAAAAATTCTAATTCTTATTGTAAATAGAGATTGATTTTTATAGTAAAAATTTTCCCCTTGGTGAAATAATTGAAATGAAAAAAATTGAAAAAATTGAAAAATTGAAATAATTGAAATATTGAGAAATAATTAAAAATAATAAATAAATAAAATAAATAATTAATTAATTAATCAAGTAATTAACAATTTATTATTATTATTATATTATTTTGATTTGACGTTTTGGCTTAGCCAATTTAATCCTTCAAATAAACCTTCACCGGTGGTGGCACAAGATGGATGAACGTTCCAAGCTCGTTCCCGCATACGATGCAGTCCAAGCTTTTCTGTTACATCAGCCGGTGACATTGCTATTATTATTATTATTATTATTATTATTATTATTATTATTATTATTATTATTATTATTATTATTATTATT